ATATATATATATACATGTATACTTAGTCGGTTGAGTTCCAAGGAAATAACGAATGCAAGAAATCAATTCCGGGCAAGATAGCCGAGGCGGAGCTTCGTGCATGTGATAGACGATACACTGTCACGTGTATACGTTCGCGCGATACGTTCGAGGCGAGAGACCCAGGCTAAGCCGACGATAAGATCGGTCGCGTGAGCTAGCCTAGGGGGTAGTTTGCCCCAAATGGCTAGTCCCATTTCCCTTGTCTCTAAGTAGTCGGGTGTTTGTATTGCCGTGTGTATTGGTGCGCGTCGCTTCGGTATTCGCATTCTCCTCAACACCGACCTGTCCTCGTCACCGTCACACTTTACCCCCTCCTCTTCATTCGGATCAGCCCGATAACGGAAAATCACTAACGCGTCCCCGTGGCTATGCCTGACAAAGCGTACGTTTAAACGCTCTTTTTGTCCACCCGTCGAGCGAAATGACAAGATGAACGGTAATTTTCGACTACGGCGATGTCATCGAAGCTGCGGAATATCTCCCATCGCTCCCGGCTCTAAATCCTTCTGGACTTGGAGCGTTCATGTCGGACAAGACGAGCGAGTCCTCGAGCGTCCTCGAAGGGCCATCAGAAAAGTAGCGCCGGCGAGTAGTAATCTGGCGACAGTTTCATTAACGCTCTTCCGGTGGATCCGTCGAGGATTTGGGGCGGAGTGCATGCCTGGTACGCTGCAGCCTATCTCCTCCCTCGTTCCTTTCACAAATCGGCTCCAGTGCCTCCCTTTCTCCATGCTCGGAAGCGCTTTTGGGCCACGCGAATCCGGCGGACAAGTACCCACCTGAAATCCTGACGTCCTGACGTGGCACTGCACCGCAGTACTGAAAGATCGCGTTGCACAGCCAGGGCTGCAGAGCTAAGCTCAGCACATTGCTGTGTACCTTCCGGCTTACGGCCGATAATGTTTTCATATTGTGGCGACCGCGTATGTTCGCGGCATGCCGCTGGCATTACCTCGCTTCTTGTAAGCTCGCAGCTGATCTTGCTCGAGAATGAGACAGGTTAGACAATCCTTCATTTCCTCCCCTTCTCCTCCTCTCTCTCTTTCTCTCTGTGTGTCTCTTTGCGATGCTTATACCTTCGAACTCCCTCTTCTCTCGTATCGCTATTATACTTCGCTTGCCGTAATCTTCTAACATCCGACACGATCCACCGCGGGAACGTACTTAAAAGTAGGCTGGAGGACCTGCTGCATCGCCTCGCCGGTTGAGAACTTAAAAGGAACCACGAAGAGAGACACTCAACTCAAGTCGAGGACTTGCCTCGGCTCGCCGTTTGTCTCCGGAGCTCTCTTCATACATCCTTCTTTTTCTCTTTTTTTTCTTTCTTCTTTCGACATTGGGATTTTGCACAGCTCTCCGTCCTTGAGGCACGGCCTTGACACTACTTTGAATGATGCTCATTTCGTGCGCTTTCTCTTTTCAAGCGCCAAGTATGTCGCGTAACTGGATTCGGCGTGTAAGAGGATTTCAATCTAGATAGCTATAAGCAATTCATTCGAGTCTTAAAAAATAAATAAATGTATGTGATTTTTTTGTGTCATGCTTTTGATCAATTGATTATGAAATTATTCGCAAATATTTTTCTGATTAAAAAAAAATGGAAGTACGTATCGATTGTCGTAAGTTAAAAAATATCCGAGAGCTTGTGTACTACAAGACATATATATCTAAGACAAAAAAGACGCGCATGAAATATGACCGTACACCATATGGCAATTAAGCTGGGGCATGATAAGAGACAGTGAGCAAATATTTGCAAGGTGACGTCTTTACTAGCAACCGATCATGTGTATAGAACACCTTTTTGCCTTATCAATGTCGTAACAGGCGTTGATTTATGAAAATTAAATTGTGAACCACAAGTGAATTATATTTGCCTACTTTGGTAAATTGGAAATGGAATACTTTGGTAATTGAGATTGGGATAAAATATTATAATAATAAATAAATCATAGATTTGAAAATCGTAGGTAACAAGATCAAAAAATGTAAATTTAATCAGAAGTAGCAAACTCGCGCGAGTAACGAGATTATGAACAAGTTTCAAGCAATTTTTGCGCATATTTTTGTGGAACAATTATCTGATATGTTTTTCTTTGTTTATTAAAGATATGCGTGTGTACGTCTGTCTTTAATTTGTCAAGAAGGTTAGATTTCTGTTAAAACACTGCGATGGTCAAAGAGCACGTGCGGTCCGGCGCAAAAGAGTTGGGGCGCTTAACTTTAAGCCGGCGCTAATGAGATTGGAACACGGCGGAAATTTTGTATAACGAACCGAAGAAGCTTTTGGTCTTTGAATCAAAGTCCACCTACTTTTCAAATTTACAAAGGCCTCAGCTCCGTCGATGAAATATATTCACGGCAGAATATTACAGAGAGAAACTTCTTTAAATTTTGCAAACTCTTGTTAGCGCCAATCATGTTAAATACTCGGTAAATTGTTCCATGCAATGTTCAGTCTTCTGAGGCATCGTTTTATAAGATGCATTATTTTCAATAACCGTGGAGATACGTATGAGATATGTACGTGTTATGAACAAGGATTTAAAACTCTGATACGGCAACCATGACAATACCTTTGTATGACATTAACTTATCCATCGTAATCTGGAGACATGGAAAGAAATCGTTCACGAGCAATTCTGAATCGACCATATGGCGAGTTTTGGTACGGGCTTATCGAAAGATAAGTCGATGCTATTAAACCACCCCAACGGACCCCCGCGCACCTGTCCTTCGCACGCCACGTAACATGTCGAGTCCAGTGGGATTTTTACTCTGTTCTGCGGATATACCGACGGAGTCTTTTTATCGAACAAAGGCTCGCCTTTTAACGAGTATACGGTAAACCGAGATAGGAGATAGTGAATTTAAATGTCCTCGAATATAACAGACGGGACGCACGCGTAGAGAGGTGCACAGGGTGGACAAAGCCGGGGGATCGTCGCGACGGATCTATCCGCTCGAAATTTTCGTCACTTCTGGAGGCAATCCTGGAATGTTCTTTTTCATTATTTTGTGTCGACAAGTCCTTTTGAAGTATGCATTATAGTTTGTCGCTAAGAAATCCGATAACGCAAGCGATTACGTTATTTCGAAAAATTCTCCTAATTATAAACCGACGCAAATTAATAAGATAGCAATAATCAATGAGATGAACATTTTGTTATCTTCTTCTGTTTTCCGTTTATGAGAAGAACACTATATTTTTTAGAAAAAAATTGTTATAAACTAAATAAACAGTTAATATTTTTAATC